TGGCACGTTCAACCTCAGATCCCTGTACTGGTAGGAACAAATCTGTTTTATAACTCTTTCAGTGAATAATAGAAATAGAGATAATGACATTTTTGTGAATTTATTAAGTTGCTGTGACAACTTTTCCCTTTTAGGAATACATCAGTTTCATTAAAAATATTAACAAGTGTTCAATTTTTTTTTAATGCACAGAAAATTGAGGCAGCCAACCCGGCACCGGTACTAATACTGAGGGTAATTTGCCATTTACAAAAAAAAATTATTTTCTTTCAGAAATCTAGATTATAGATTCTAGATATAGTGTTTCACATGATCGTCAGTTGTGGCAAGCTGGAAAATATTAAACCGGGGGAGGGAGGGGGTATATGAAAAAAGGAGCATGGAAGTGGTGTGAAAAAAATGAATATTAATAAGTGAGGGGGAGGGGGGGTCGCTTATTCGTACCTTATAGTAGATAAACATTTCCCATTAAGGACACTCTCTATAACAACACCTACTATTCACCAGCATAGAAAATTTGTATCTCTAAACCGAGCATGACGTAAGCCACACCCGATACATCCATAGTTACTTTTGTCTTGAACAACGTTTGCACGGTTTGAATTTAAAATCTTTGGTTTTGTATTTCACTGAATCCTATCCGTACGTCGTGTTTTACTATCGTATCCATATCACGTAGGGAACCCAGTGCCCACGCTTTTGAAAGAGGAAATTTACTCGATAATCCGATCCGTACGCTTTGCATAGTTGTCTTTCAAAATGATTTTTTGAGAAATACTGAAAGTTTAAAAGAGATCTTCGTACTGGAAGTACTCTAAAATGTGCGGTATACAACCCCGGGGTACAAAATGACCCTAAGGCGTATGGATAGGGTTAAACCTTTAGTCTGCATCCTCGTTTCCACTAGTTTTTGGGTGTTTTCCGTTCATGAGTTTTAGATAGTAGGTTTTGTTTTGAAGCGATTCACAATACAATATTATTACTAATGGTTGTAATGTGTATTTCAGTGGCAGCTATACTAATCCTTTCTTCGTGGTCGTGTCAGTTATCTCAATTTGCATTTGTGCCCACCATTTCGAGCAAATCAAAGGATGTGAAGTCCATTTTTTCGAAACATTTGTGACATTTTTGTTACTCATATACATTACTTGTAAATATTTTTTCTACGAATTCAATTTCTAAAAAAAGTAAAGAAATATATTTTTAAACTAACCAGTGTTCATAACTTGTTTCATGATTATTCTGTAATGCATGGTTTTGTTTCTTTTCTTTTTTGTTGTGTATGTTGTGTGCTTTAGTTTTTGTTTGATTTAAAGAACAGAATACTGCCGAGATTGCTGCCATGTATTACAAAGAAACAAGAAAATCAGCAGCACCAACTGTGGTAGATGCGTTGTGTGCATTTTTGTAGTCAATTAACTAATACTCGATAATGGATGGTATTTTGTCAATGCGGAACTGGCAGTCAAGCTGCAAACCAGCCTGCTCAATGCATGAAACATTTAAGAGGAAGTATTGGCCCAACCCCAGGACAAGGGGAGTTCAAGTGACCTGCGGCGAACAGCAGAGTCGACGCACTAGGGAAGAAGAAGAAGAAGAAGAAGAAGAAGAAGAAGAAGAAGAAGAAGAAGAAGAAGAAGAAGAAGAAGAAGAAGAAGAAGAAGAAGAAGAA